TTAACTGCTACACTATCGCACCGGGCCCACTTGTGCCATTTTTTGTTGACTTCCCAGGAGAATTATCAGGAAGCTGGATCAGAAACAAAACAGCTGGAACTTCAATATGCCCTCCAGTGTGAGATGCTGGCATCCAAAGTGGTGGCTTATCCTTCATACTAAAACGCTGGTTCCTGGCTGTGTCTGCTTGCTTTTGACTTCTGAAAGTTTGTTGGTTTCTGTCTCAGTCTCCATGGGGATCACTGGCCTGGGTGGGAGGCTGTCCACTTTTAGAGGGTGATCTCCTGGAGCTGGAAGCTAGGGAGATGCTCCAGGACTGGGTCAGGATCCTCGGGACCGATCCAGCGGCGTTGCCCAGAGCTGCTGGGTATCCTTGGCTCTCCAACCAGAGACCAAGGCCGTGGCTTGGGACACCTGTAGCCAAAGTGAGGAGATGTGGGAGGGGAAGCACATTTCGTCTGCAGGGCGCGTCTCCGGGCTGACTCACACCCCAACTCTGAGCTCTGGCCAGGAGTACACTGTGACCCCCAGTGTCTTCCAGAGGTCTGGGCCTCAGCGAGCAGCCCACTGGACAGCTGCCTCATCAGGCCACTCCTCTACACCCTTTGCTGCTGTACGTCCTATAGGGGCTCAGAGGGTTCCTCCAGGGGCAAATGCAGCCAAGAAATCTGCCCAGCACACACATACACACAGCTCTTGAGCGGCAGAAGCTGATGGTGGTTTGTGTTCTTCAGAGACCGATTTTTCTTTAAATAGTTATTCATTTTTATTGGAAAGGCAGATCAAATTTTACTTAGAAAAGGAGAGACAAAGATCTTCCATCTGCTGGTTTACTCTTGAACTAAGCTGATCTGAAGCCTGGAGCTTCTGCCTGGTCTCCCACACAGGTGCAGGGTCCCAAGGCTTTGGGCTGTCCTCTGCTGCTTTCCCAGGCCACAAGCAGGGAGCTGGATAGGAAATGGAGCAGTGGGACATATGCGATCCTGGTACTTGCAAGGTGAGGATTCAGCCACTGAGCCAACGTGCTGAGCCTTGAATTTTTTTTTTTCATGCTGAAGTATGCAGGGGGAGAGTAGAGGAAGTTGGGAAGTAACAGGAAGACTCGCAGCAGATCCCTGCACCCAACAGCCTGAGCAGATGGTAGCTGGTGTTGTTCCACCCGGGGGGGGGGGGTGTTGCAGAGCCAGGATGTCTCCCCATTGGCTGGAGGAGTCCAGGAGCTCTGATGCACTCCAAGTCCAGAGAGGTGGGCCTGGAGCTGGGAGCTCCCTAAAGGGCCCTGTGCTCTCGAATGTGGCCCTGTCTATAGCTTAGGAATATGGCTTGTTCCCAACTTTGAGGCTAAGATCACATCTTAGGAGCCTCTTGTTAGAGATGGGACAAGCCCCCATGGAGCTGGGGGAGCAGGCCTTAGCAACCCAAGAACAGCCTCCCAGTGGTCTGGACAGGAACACAGCCTCTGACGACCAGACAAGGCTGCCGGGACTTGATCCTGGATCCCCACGAGGGAGTGTCAGGCCAGAAGGGCTGTCTGGTATGGTTTTCACACTGGAGATGAAAAGCAGAGGCAGAAAGAAACATCCACACTGCTCAGCAGGTTAGAGACAAGTTTTTCAGTTAATCTGACACTGCACCTGTCACTTGGCCTGCTTGGGCCTCAGCTTCCACAGAGGTGCAAGGCAGGGAGGGCATTTGATGCAGCAAGGAAAAGGCCACTCGGGATGCCTGCCTCCTGTGTTGGGGTGCCAAGGCTCCAGGCCTGGCTCTTCTCTTCATTCCCCAGTGCCAGCTTCCTGTCAATTACATGCTATGACAGGCAGCAAACCCATGGTTTATGTACTTGATTGAATTCCTGGCTCCTGTCTTTGGTCTGGCGCAGTCCCAGGTTTTGTAAGACTTTGAGGGTGAACCAAAGATGGAAGATCTTTTTTCTCATTATGTTTCTATATCTTTTTTTTTTTTTTTTTGAGATTTACTTTTTGTTTGAAAGGCAGAGATTTACAGAGAGAAAGAGAGACAAAGATCTTTCATTAGCTGACTTACTCCCCAAATGGCTGTGACAGTTGGAGCTGAGTTGATCTGAAGCCAAGAGCCAGGAACTTCTTCCGCATCTGCCACATGGGTATATGGACCCAAGGACTTGAGTCATCCTCTGCTGCTTCTCCAGGCCATAAGCAAGGAGCTGGATTGGAAATGGAGCAGCTGGGACATGAACCAGAGCCCATATAGAATGCTCATACTGCAAGGTGGAAGATTAGCCAGTTGAGCCACCTCACTGACTCCTCTCTATTTTTCTAGTAAAGTTTTAAAAAGAGAGGTGAGGCTGTTCCTGCTAGGACAGAGGGTGGACTAAGTAGGACTGGCCCATGGACCCACTAGTGTGTGTAAGATCTGGCACTGGGAGAAGTTCTGATGGAGGAGCTTGGGGAACTCCTCTGTCAGGACACAATCCTTGCAGGTGAGCACAAGAACCAAGACAGGAAGCAACCCAGACTAGGCCAGGTTATGGTACCACCAGCATACATTTGGCTTGGGTCTGGGGCAAACCAAGCTGGGCCAGTTCATATCACCCTCTGACAAATCTGAGAACCAGAATGGGGTATGGGTCATGCCGGATTGGGCCGCAATAACAACCAATCCACATTAGGGCTGGAATTCAGGGCTGGCTGGGCTGGGCTATGCTACAGCACCCACTGGCAAATGCCAAGGTGAGGCAGGCCATGCCAGACTGGGCCACAGTACCCAACCTAACAGCACATGTGAGACCCTGGGGCAGAGGAGAGGAAGAATCCAGTAGAGGGGCTGTGGGGGTCCCCCTGCTGGTCCATTATTCCCACTGGTGAGTGTAAGATCTGGGATCTGGGGTGGACCAGGCTGGGCAGGGCTACAACACCTGTTGGCCTGTGTGTGTGAGCTGGATCAGGGGAAAAGCCAGGCTGGGCTGACTGTACCTTCTGGTGTATGCATAAGCTAGAGTGGGTGTGGGTTGATTGGGCTTTGCCACAGCATCAGTTGGCAGATGCTGGCACGGGGGGCAAATTCTGTCAAGCTAAACAACTGAATCACCTGGAGAGTGCAAGATTCAGGAGTGGGAGTGGGACCATTAGGGAAGCAGTGGGCACCTCCCTCTTGGTTGCCACTCCCACTGGTGAGCATGAGAACCAGGACTAGGAGCAGGCACGGCTAGACAGAGTGACACCCACCAGCACCAGTATGGACTGGATGGGGGCTGGTTAGATGAACTAGGCTTCAATGCCCATTGACATGTACAAGAGCTGAATGGGATGTGGGACAGACTGAACCAATCTGCTGTACATACTGGCAAGCATGGGAATCAGTGCAGCGGGCAGGTCTGGTGGGAGTTATTGAGGGTCGCTCCAACTAGGCTGCAGCTCCCACTGCTTTGCTGCACTGCAACACCCATTGGTTTGTGTAGAAGACAGGGCTGGAGACAGAATTGACCCAGCAATTGCAACTGCCAGTGTGTACGTAGGCTGATTTGGGTGACAGACTTGCGTATTGGCAAGCACATACAAGAATCAGGTCTGGGGGCCCGGCGCGATGGCGCAGTGGTTAAGGTCCTCGCCTTGCACGCCCAGGATCCCATATGGGCGCCGTTGCGCTCACTTGGGGAGTGAATCATCAGACGGAAGATCTTCCTCTCTGTCTCTCCTCTCTGTATATCCACCTTTCCAATAAAAATAAAATAAATCTTTTTTTTTAAAAAAAGAGTCAGGTCTGGTATATCATGTGCTGGTTATATTATAACATAACAGTGTAAATTTTGTGAATATGTATTACAATGTGTGCAATAAACTGTTTATTAAAAAAAAAAAAGAGTCAGGTCTGCGATCACCTCAGATGAAGTTTCTTTTGGGATCCCCCCAACTGAAGCACTGAACTCAGAACTCCAACCAGGGAGGAAACTGCAGGTTCCATGGTCTGACCATGGAATGCATGTGTCAGCGCTGCGCCTCCTCAGTGGCTTAGGAGGAGCAGTGGACCGCATATCCAGATGCAAATGGAGGATATGGCTATACATTGGAGCCTGCAGAGGACACCTGATACCACACCAGAGGAAGGAGGACAGAACAAAATGATCAACTACCCCCAGCCAAGCATTGTCAGCAAACATCTGGGCAAACGAAGACGCTAAGGTGGACTATGTCAACCAGTGGTTTTTGGAGCAATTTCATCACGTTTGGAGTGGTGGGATTGGCAGCAATTCAGAATTGTTGAACTAGCAAAACCACTTGAGCAGGACTGTCAGAGCATCCCCCACATTGGGGACCCTGGGATGGTTGGAAGGCTGGGTGTGGGCTCTCCCCTTACCGCCCCCTTCCCCAGTTACAAGAAGGAAAAAAGCTAGTATGGAAACAATGATCGCACCCACCTTCGTCTCGCCCTTGATCCTTCACACCCTAATAAACTAGGTAAAAATCATTAAAAAAAAAAAAAAAGAGCTAACACATCACACACAGTGACATGTTCTGTGACAAACAGAACAAGTTTTCTTTTGTTTATTTTTTAATATGGGTTTTAACATTGTATTCATTTGAAAGGCAGAGATCGTCTGTGCACTGGTTTACCTTTCCCAAAATGCACACAACAGTCAAGTTGGGCAGGCCACAGCCGGGAGCCCAACTCCCTGAGCTGTCCCCTGCTGCTTCCCACGGCGCCTGTAAGCAAGAGGCTGGGTTCCAAGTGCAGTAGTGGGGCTGGGGAGGTGCGCGACACTTTAATACGCCTGTGACATGGCATGTGAGTGACCCAGTGGCGACTTGATCTTCTGTGGCAAGCAATTCCTTTCCTCCGCGTCCCGTTCTGGCCTGCACGTGTCCTGCTTTCTTTCATCTGCTGCTGTGGCCCTCTGCCCCGACAGACACACGCTGGACACACACAACCACATTCAGACTAGAATACTTTATTCAAGAGAATCTGGCTTGGCAGTTGCACGGCCTGTGGGGGGCTCAAGGGCCCTGGGGAAGCAGTTTCTTTTTCCATGGCCACTGGGTAGGAACACAAAGTCCCTCCTTGGTGACCTGTTTCTGGCCCAACCTGGGGCCCACTCTGCCTGCGTCCCTGTGTGTGGGCAGGATGCGAGGCCTTGGCTGGGACCAAACGGCAGGTGGCAAAAACATGGAGACAACCACAGGCTCCACCTGCACAGCTGAACATTCTGCCTGCAGGTCACAAAGTGGCAACCAGGAGGGAAATGCGCATGGGCGGCTGGTCCCTCCACCCATGCTGGCCTTCTCCCAGCCAAACTCCCAAAGGAGGCTGCTTGCCCATCAGAGCCTGGGGTCCCAGGAACACATGGTGGGCACTCCCCTGCAGACCCCCAAGGTCTCTGGGTTCTGGCTTGCCCTCTCCCAAGGCCATGTGTCTTGCTTCTTCCCAAGCCGAAGCTCCCATGGGTCCGTGGCTGGCTTCTTTCGTTCTCTCTCGTTCTGTTTAAGGCACTGAATTCCTGAGGGTCCTGACCCTCCCTGCCCCTCGTCTTGGAGGGCGTGAGCCATTCAGCAGGGATACAGTTGGCGAATAAATAGGGGGCAGGGAGCAGCGGGGAGGTAACTGAGAGTGTGACGGTAATAAATACACGAGCAGCCGGCGTGAGGTCTCTCCTCCGAGGAGCCGGTTACCTCCGGGGAGCCACGTCACCGCACCTGCCAGGGAGCAAACACAGACAGATCCTGGGGGTCAGCACTCAGTGCAAGGCAGAGGCCCCTCCTGTGGTGGGGCAGGGGAGAGGGGTAAGGGGCAGACCCACAGGGGAAGCTTGCACAGGGAGCATAGGGTAGGGGGTGGGGATGCAGTACTCCTGGACCCCTGGCTGCACTCACTGATGGGGCGCAAATGGAGCTGGGCTCTGCCCAGCTCCAGCTGCTTCCCGGGCTGTTCAGCTCCACGGTAAGTCCTCAGGCCACAGCCTCGAGGAAGGCAAGGTCAGTGCCAGGCTTTTACAGATAAGGAAATTCGGGCCTGGCTAAGCCAGGGATAGTCACATTGGAACTCAGCTCAGGAGAAAAAAAAAAAAAATCCTGCCTCTGGGTACCCTTCAGGTGGAGCTGTGGAGACTACAGATGGAGCTTCACCAAGTTTGACCCCAGCAGGTGTTCTGCTTTAGCATCGTTTGCTGGACAGAGGGGCTGAGATCTGCTCTTCTGTCTGTGCCAGATCCGGGCAAAGGCTATGAGCTAAAGGTCCTCTGGGGACACATGACAAGGATGGTGGGAAGCCTCCGTGCAGCTGCGAAGGTGCTGGGGCTGGCTAATGGGCAAGGCAAGAAGCCCCATTAAGTCATTTTCATGCCTTTCAGTGAAATTGAAGCAGAATTTGACCTAACTTTCAGCCAATGCTTCTGCCGTAGGAGGAAACCACCTAGAGATGTTTGACAAAACAACCCCGGGCAGAGTTCGAGGACTTGAGGGACATCTGGTCCCACCCTCTTTTTCACCTGTGCCCGGTCTCTCTACCTTGGCATCCAGAAATCGTAAGGAAAAGGTAAGCAATCTGTAGTTCTCAGCCTGGCCGGAGAGGATTTCAGTTTAGGAATTCAGAAACTAGAGAGCACGAGCTGCCGCCATCTCACGGAGGAGGACGGCCGGGGCGACTCATCGAGATAGGATGTCTTTGTGCTGTTCTGAGCAAGCAAAACCGAGAATAAAGATGCCGAGAATTTATCCCAGGAGATCACTTGCAGCGGGGAGGGCAGGTGCTGAAAAATTAAACTCATTGGCTACTTCTGTGGCAGTGTGAGATAGGGGAAAAGGCTTCTGAATAGTAAACATGCTAGCACACTGAAACGTTAATATCCAGAATACGCCAGAAACGATATCTGTTGCAACTGCTTATAAATGACAATGAAAAGGCTCGAGGGAGCACAGGGGCCTTAGAAATGTGTGCAGGAGAGCTGAAGATGGTCGCTGTGGAGGTGGGTGTGTGCTCCACCTGCCGTGGCCTGCTGCTCCGAGTTGGCTTTGTGGCCTTAAGCACACCGGCTTCCCAGCATCCTTGTCTTCAGGGCCTAAGAGCAGTGGGTTCAGGGCGATGGGTCCATTCCCTGAGCAGGAAATGGTTTCCCAGGGTATCGGATCTTGGGAGGAGGTTTGGGCCTTGCTGGAGAACCCAGTGTGATTGATAGTGGGTGTGCAGCAGGTTATGTTCTAGCTAGCTCCTGTTGTGGGTTTGGGGGGTCTTCCTTTCTCTATGCCTTTCATCCCTGCAATCCTCAGACCTGAGGTTCCAGCTTGCCACCCCCTAGGCGGGCAAGCCAAGATGGGCAGGTACCGTGGAAAGGAAGCAGGGCCTGAGAGCCAGTGGGGGCTGGCCCTTCTCTTGCGTCCTAACGAAGCCACCTCCAGCTCGGCAAGTGCCTGCTGACAGTGGGCCCTGCCTCTCATTCTATTCCCAAGGAGAACTAGGCCTAGAAAGGGAGAAATAAGCTGGTCAAGGCCACACAGAGACTCAGTGCTCAGGCAGGGCAAGAACCAAAGCTCCTGGCTGTCCCATGGGTCCTGGGAGCAGGTGCAGCTACCTGCTCTGGGCCCCAAGAGTCTCTGAGTCTTGCCTCTCTCCAAGCCCTGGCCACTGACCCCATGCTGGCTGGGTGGGGTGGGGCAGGGCCTCCCCTGGGGCTCAGCCTCTTTGCCATCCCTGGGCTCCCGGGCACTCACAGGTGACAGTCTGTGGGTTTCTGCTTCTCTCTCTTCCTCTTCCCCCTGCCCTTGAGTCTCCTCCTGCAATAAGCCAAAAGCATCAGGACAAGGTCGCTGGGGGTAGGAGGGCCATGCTGGGACAGGGGGTGGCGGGCCCAAGATTAGCCCCAAGCCCCAGCCAGGCCACTTACCATTCAGCCTTCATCTTGTCCCGTAGTGGTCTGAGGAAATACAGGGGGGAGGGGAGGATGGGGGTCAGGAAGATAGTAAGTGGAGGTTCCTCCCTCCTCCCACTCGCCTGAACACTGGCCCTGCAGTAGACGTAGTGGCCGCTAGGGGGTAGCCTGGAACCAGCAAGGGGAAGGCTGCAGGGACTCAGGGCTGGGGTGACAGCTCCGTCCAGTAGGGTAGGACTTTCCTCTAGGGGTTCCTCACCACTTCCTTCAGCACTCCCCTGCCTGTTGACACCAAGTCCTGCGGCTTTTGAGTATGTTCCCTTCCTGGCCCATTCTGAGAATCCCACCGAGGGTGGCTAAGGGTGTCTAGGCCTGATGCTGAGCTGCAGGACCATCTAGCCAGGGCTGCTTCCTATTAGGGCATGGCCCCCATTCCACCCTTGCTATGGCTGAGGGACCAGGTGAGGACAAACCCCCACAGTCCAGCTATTGTCCTAGAGTAGGAAGAAGGGTGTCCCTTTTTGGGGAGGGGGATCACACAGATTCGGTCTTGCTTGGGGACAGTGGGTGAAGGCTTGGAGCAGCACGCTGATAGCTGGGTTTAGGGCCACAGAATGGAGCCCCAGGCTGGCTCCTGCCAGAACTGCCAGGTGACCCTGTTCCACAGTAGGTAAGTTGGGGACACCCAAGGATTTGGTTTTCTTCTCTCCAAGCCCTAAGAAAGTGGCTATGAGGGCAGGGGTGGGATGGCTAGTGTCCAGCTCTTGCGATGGTTAGGTGCCAAGGCTTTGGCTGTCAGGGATGAGAATACTGCTTCCTAGCACGATGGGGAAGACCTACAGCCTTGGATATAAGCAGTAGCCAGCCCAGGGTAGTCCTGGGGCTGTGGGACAATGTGGCAATGGCCATGAGAGGCAGTATTACAAAACAGGTTAAGGAGGCAGACAGGCTGCAGTTGCAGCTCCTACTTGCTAGGGCAAACCCCACAGCTGGAGCCAGTCTGGCTTTCCTCATCTGTTAACTAGGCAGAGCAAGTGTTCCTACTCCTAGCTCCAAGAGCAGGGGACTGTCTGGCTCACTTACCCTTCTATCCTAAGTATCTTCAATAGTGCCTGGAAAATAGTAGGTACTCAATCCATATGCATAAATATGAACACACCCAAAAACCTACTGTGGGGCTCGGCACAGAGCAGGTGCACACTAAATGGTTGCTTCCTTGCTCCCCCTTCCTGCACTCCAGGTTGGGCTCAGAGCTCAAGTCCATGGCCCTGTGGTACGAGGAGCACCATCTCAGCCCATCTCCTCCTCCCTGCATCTGATTGGCTGCTCTGCTGCTCCCAACACTGAACCTTCCAAGTGCCCCAGGCACAAGCTGCAAGACGAGGACTGCTGAGAGGCTGTGTGGCAGGGAGGGATGGGTGGCTGGGTGCTGCTCCTTTAAAGACAACCATTTTGCCTGTCTCTCCCCTGACCCAGGGACATGCAGGCTGACCCAAATGAATCCTGGAGGAGGAGGAGTAGGCGTGCCCTGAGCCCCTGCCAGTCTTGGAGGGAACCTGGGCTTCCTCTTCTCCCATGACGTCATGGCAGCTGGAGCCCAGCTGCCTGAACCAGCTCCCCAGGCCAAACGGGAAGGCATGGATACACAGACAAGGCGATTATGCCAGGTCACTGGCTTCCTTGGTCTCCGTCCCCCAGGAAGCCAGGGCAGCCTGCAGTTCCCTCCTCCCCCTCCCCAGCTCCTCTGCCTCAGGTTCCAGGGGACCTGTCCCTGTTGCCAGCCCCAGTACTTACTTGCACTCACAGCGGACGTGCTGAGAGAACGTCATCTCCACATAAGAGGGTGGGTCTCCAGCACGGATCTTCAGGAGCTGGGGGCAAGAGGCAAAGGGAAACGTGAGAGCCTGGGTTTACTGAGCGCTCTCCCTACAGCGTTAGCGAGGCTCCCTGTTTCCCCCATCGGCCTTTGCACTGCAGACTCTCCTTCTGCTTGGAGTGGGAGCAGGCAGCTTTCCCCACCTGCACATAAATCCAAAGGAGGCCTCTGTCCCTGTCCCCCAGGGCCACCAGTCCGGCAGTGCAGGAAGAGGACCCATGCTCCAGCCCTTGTTCAGATGTTGGCTCTTCCCACCTTACGGCAAGTTCAGAACATCTGTGAGCCTCAGCTTGCTCATCTGTGAAATGGGCACAGTTGCTGCTTTGAGGACAGAATGAGGCAGCATCTGCGGTATATCATGAACAGTGTTTGGTGAAAGAAAGTTCAGTGACCAAGCTTGCCCCAGAAAGCATCGCTCCTGGTGTTGACAATGTCTTTAGTAAGAGGCTGTTTCTCAGCCTCCTGAGTCTTGGGACAGGGCTCAGCGAGAGCCTGGGGAGGCTGGGCTGAGTGAAAGGGAGAGGGCCCTGGAAGAAGGCCCTGAGCTGGGGGACCTAGGGCTCCATTGCCTAGGACCTCGGCCCCACATGCTCTGTCCTCCTACGGACATGTGCCAAGAGCCTCCCTACCTGCATGGTGATATTGACCGTGTCCACTGGCACGCAGTGCAGGTTCTCATCGCCACAGCAGCCGGTGCAGCGCAGCAGGGAGACGCAGGATGGGCTGAAGATGTGCTCCATCTCACCTGGATACTCGGCCACGATGTCCACCAGCCTCTCCAGGGACCGGCAATAGCTACGGCCCCACACCTCTTGGAAGGGCACCACTGTGAGGAAGCGAAAAGGCTGGTCAGGCCACAGGGACCTGATACTGGATACCCAGCCTCAGCTCCCAGGCCTTGCTTAGTCTTTGGGCTCCAGCCCTTGCACTCCGTCTCCCTGCAGGGAACCCCCAGGGAACCCCCAGCTCCATCTGAGCTCTGCTTGCTCTGAAACATTCAAGGGATCCTGTTGGGATCTCTTTGCTCATCCACGGGGCACAAGTTCTCAGGGCAGCAGGTGTCTCTGGGTCCCAAGCACTCTGTTTTGTTCTTAGCTCAGGCAGCCCCATTCGCTTTGGTTCCTGGAACATGCCCTGGCTGCTGCCTGAGCCCTTTGCACCTTTCTCAGACTCAGCCTGCTGCATCATCTATCCCGGGGCATCCTGCCTTTTAGGCCTCTGCTCAAGAACATTCCATGGGTCCCTCATACCCGCTAGGTCAGCTCCTCTGCCTGGCAACCAAGACCACACGGCCAGTCCCCATCCACTGAGCACCTGAGCCAGGGTTCCACGTGTTGGGTATTCGTGCCACGTGGTCCAGTCGGGCCAAGTCCAATCTGCTGCTGTTTACACTCAGATGATGCCTGCCCTCTCCATCTGGTCCTTTGGGCACAGCTTGGCCACCCCTACCCCCAGGGTGCCAGCCTTGCTCCATCAGCCCTGGAGGCCTTTTATCTAGTTTTACAATCCTATTGAGGCCCTGGCAGTGAGGGGGTATCGATAAACAAAGGTCAAATAATTCAATTCCTGGTGACTAGGGTCACTCCTGGTTGCTGTGGAAGGCATGTTTGGGGAGAGGGGGGTGCTTGGGTCCTCAGTAGCTTAGTTCACATGAAGTCCTGGAGCCGGGGAACGTGACTTTTGTCCTGGTCCCATCTGGCTGTGTGACCTCAGGGAGGTCACTCAACATGTCTGAGTATTTTGCTTGTCTCCACCAGGGGAACAAGTTTGGAAAGCCAGGGTTTGCCCAGGGCTCTCCCATTCTGACCAAATGCCTAAGATGCAGGGTGCAAAAAAGCCAGCCTCAGTCCCCCTTGGCTAATGGGGTGCTGGCCACTTGGGGACCCCACAGCCCATCCCATGCAGCAATGGCCTCTCCCAACAGCTTTTCCAAGAATGCTGATGTGCTCAAGTCCATTCCACGGTCTCTCTGAGGACGGGAAACTCAAGAAAAATAAACGCCTCTCTCAGCGGAGGCCCTTGGGAAAGGCTGTGGGTGGAGGAGCTGAGTGTCCCCGTGGGCAAGCAGAGACGGCCACCAAGGCCCTGCCCCAGGCCCGTCTCCTCAGAGCTGGCCCCAGAGCCCAGGAGAAGTCTGCCTGGGCCAGGGTCAAGAGCACATCCCTGCCGCCAGCGCCAGGAGTCATGTGTTTAGTCTAAAGCTTTGGTGAGTACTACGCGACTCGGGGCAATTCTCCTCAGCTTCAGTTAGCGCAAATAATAGCCATGGTAGCGGCCAGCTGCCGAGGCACCCGGAAGGCTGTGCCCACCATCAGGAGCGGCACAGCAGCTGACAAGGGCGTGTTCTCCTGATCCCCCACCACAACCAGGGAAGTCTCCACCCCACCTCCCACCACACAGGATCTGTACCAGCAGGCCCCAGGTGCCTGACCTCCACCCCACTCAAAATGACAAAGCATGCATGTGCCTAGCCACATGGGCACAGGGTAGCAGAGGAGGGCCAAGACTGGGGCTACCCGGCAGCCCCCAGGAGGTCCCCCCATCTGAATGTGCGGGCTGGGTGAGGGGTCATGTGAAGCAGCTCCTGCAGTGACTCCTGCAGTTGTGGGCAGAGCCCCTCAGGAAAGAGCTTTGCTCAGCAGCTCCCTAGCCCACTTCCACAGGGAGGGACTGTGGACCAGGGCTGGAGGCTGAGACCTTGGGCCAGCTCCTGGCCTGGCCTCCCAAGGTTTCCTGGGGCCTTGAAAACACTTTTAGCCCCTGGTCAAGCCTCCTCTTCACCCGCCTAGCTGCTTACTATCCTGGAGGTAGGAGACTCAAGAAAGGAAACTTGGGAGCCCAGTGCAGTGGTGCAGCAGGCTGATCCTCCACCTGCAGTGCCAGAATCCCATATGTGCGCTGATTCTAGTCCTGACTGCTCCACTTTTGATCCAGCTTCCTGCCTATGGCATGGGAAAGTAGCAGAGAATGGTCCAAGTGCTTGGACCCCTGTACCCACGTGGAAGACACAAAAGAAGCTTCTGGCTCTCAACTTTGAACCAGTCCAGCTCTGAATATTGAAGCCATATGGGGAGTGAGCCAGTGGTTGCAAGATCTTTCTCTGTCCTTCTCTGTAACTCTGCCTTTCCAAGAGAAATAAATAAATGTGAAAGATGAAAGAAAGAAAGAAAAAAAGAAAGAAAGAAAGAAAAAACGAAAAGGTAATGTGTAATCCTAGGAGTCGGCTTCTGCACAGGCCACTGGGGACGGGCCATGGCTGGTCTGCCTGGCAGGTGCCCAGCCTGCCCCGGGGACCTGCCCAGCCATCAAGCCCCTGCGGCCTGTGCTTCTCCCAGAGGCTTTAGGTGACTCCAAGGGCCCGTCTGGGCTACAGAACATGGAGGATACTACATCCTACTGGCTCCATCCCAACATGTGGCCAAGACAGTCACAGCAAACACCCAACACTATTGTCACCAAGAGTCACAGCCCAAGATCAGTGACCAGGGCAGGCAGGACTGTGCTGCCTCTTGCTTATGGCAGGACAGCACTTTCAGATTGTGAGAATTGGGGTCCAAAGCCCACTGAACTGCCTGGAGCCACCAGTCAGCCTCCTTCCCACCTGCACCCCCCACCCCCAGAAGCTGAAGGGAGGAACCATGCCTCCTTCCCTCAGGCACTTGTTACAAATGGTGCCACCATAAAAAACAGAAAGTAGCTTCTCTATCTTTGCAGTCTATCTGATGCCCCCATGTTACCGATAAGAAAATTGAGGCACAGGTCATCCTCCATAGCTGTTGCTTGGACTATGCTAAAAGCACAACAGGGGGTACGGTGACGCCAAGGGTGGCTTCCTCCCTCGGCAGCTACGGGTGTACTGGCCTGGGAGAAGCTGGCCGGCAGAGGGTGTTTCCAGCTCACAGATGGCTATCATGCGTGTGCATGTGCACGCCCCTACACGCCCCTCTCCCACGGTGCCGTGGGACACGTCTCGCCTTGGCAGGGGTGTGTGGCTGCCCTGCACGTCTCAGAGAGACAGGGAGGGAGGAGCGAGGCAGGGGGCCTGGCACAGGCCTCTTGCCTTCTGCACGTATGGCTCCTTGGCAAATGACTCCTTGCTACTCTTTGAAGATTCTCTCCGATGCAACCCAGGATGGGGAGCGGAGGGGCCGGGGAGGGTGCGACTCGGGTTCTGTTTGTAATCACTGCTGAGGCCTGGTCAGGGCCAGGCTGCTGCCGATGGCCTGCATCCCTGTCCGCCCTCAGCCGCCCCTACTGCTTGCCTTCCATGTCTGGCTCCTCGATCCCGAGGCCAGCCCCTGCTCCTCACTGCCCATGCGGCCCCCCAGGATCCCATCTGCATCCTGAAATCATGCTGGGAAGGGGCTCTGAGCCAGCTGGATGAAACAGCCTGGCTCTCCTGGTTACAGCCCTGCCTCAGCGTGCTCGGTGACCCTGGCCCTTGAATGCCCCATTCTCCAGGCCCTGGGGTCACAGGGGCTCGGACTCTCTGGCCACACCAGCTTAGGCAGCCAGGATGTGTAGATGTGTAGCTTGCAGATCTTCCCCAAACACATTGTCAGTGCACACCCGCCCTTCCCGCCCTCTGTGGAGGCTTGGCGACAGAAAAGCAGGGGGGAACCTGGTATGGCCAGGCACACTCCCGAGCTGACCTGCTTACCTTCCACCTCCGATGAGCTGTTCCCAGTAGACAAGGCCCACTGCTGTGGACAGAAAGGTGCCGATGTGAGCTCCTGGACAAGTGTGATGGAAGTGGGAGGAAGTCCCAGGCATCCCGCTCTCTCCTCCCCCAGAGCTGCCTCTTTCTAGGGCTGACAAAAACCCACCAGGAAGACCCCGGAGGGTTCTGCCCCCTTGCTGCCTCAATTTCCCCATGTGGACAGGGTGGGAGGTTGGAGCTTCAGGAGTTCTGCTTTCTGTATCCCAAAGGTCTTGCCAGCCTTGGGGAAGGGGAATGCCCTCTATTTCTCCCCCATCCTCCCAGGCTAGTCTTATTGGGGCCCCCTAAACAGCCTGCCTTGGCTGGGTGCCAGAGCCAGGAGGAGGTGATCAGCTGGTGGGAGCTGAGGGGCCAGAGCTTGTGGCGCCAAGAGCTGGTGCTGCGGTAACGTTACACCTCTGACCAGCCCTACAGGCAGGCAGGCAGGCGGGTGGGTGGCTGGACTGCCCAGCCCAGCCCAGCCCAGCCCACCCTGGGCTTGGGACTGGGGACTCCCAAGGCAGCATAGTGGGAAGAGAGAACCTTGGCTTTGTCAGGATGGTGCTACCCGAAGCTGGCTCCCAGCCAGATCCACCCAGCTCCTGGGAAAAGGGTCCTGCTCACTTCCCCAGGCCCTGCGGCCACCCAGCCAGTGGGAGAGGGCACAGTGGGACCCCTTGTTTCACCCTAGCCCACCCCCTCCGCATCCCTTCCAGCTCTGTCCGGAGCTCCTGAGAGGGCAGGGGCTGGATTCCCTACTACCAGGCTCTTCATCTGGGTCCCCCCTCCCCCCCACCCACACCCACACTAGGCTAGGTCAGAGGTCCCAGGGACGCCTAGGACTCAACCCTGACCGCAAGGCCAGGGACTGGGCTGGGCTTAGGGGACGGATGCTTTTAGCAAAGCCACGAGGCTCCAGGGGCCAGACTGGGAGTCTTTCTGTCCGGGTGCGTCTGCTACGACGGCCCCTGGCACTGGGGGCAGCCGAGCTGGGACCAGCCAGAGCCGTTAAGGGTTCAGTAGCAGTGCATCCCCTCTCTCTGGGGCGCAAGGGAGGTGGGGAGCAGCCGGTGGGCATTCAAGGAAATACTGCTCTAGATAGGGCTGTCCTAAGAGTGCTGGGATGGGCATATCCGCGCAGCCAGGCTTGGGGGAGGGGGCGAGGACGGCAGTTCTTACCTGCGGGGGCACAGCGGGCAGTGCCAGCCCGGCCAGGAAATGCAGGAAGCAAGTTAACAGCCTCATGGTGGGCATCTGTTCAGACTTCCAGAGTCAGGGGGCTTCAGGGAAAAATCACCATGCTCGACCCGCCGCGGGTAGCTGTGGCACCAGAGGAGAGGAGCAAGGAAGGGGCAGAAGATCTGCCTCTTAGCACTGCCCCGGAGCGGCCGCCAGCGGCCTGAGCATCCTCTGGGCGCCCCGGGAAGAGTCCGGAGCTCGGCAGGTACAGCGACGCCGGGGAGCCTGCGGCGGGGCGCGGGACAAGCGAGTGTGTGCCGAGGGGGTCCGTCGGGCGCCGCGTGCGTACGCAGGTCCTCTGGGCGGCAAGGGGCTCCTCTGAAGATGCAGTTTCCTGCTCAGACAGCAGCGCCCTTCTGAAGCTGTGGCCCTGTGGGCTGGCTTTATGGGCTGTATAATCGGGGCGGGGCTCCCGGCCAGGCCCGCCCACCGAGCTCCGGACTCGGCGGCCACCCGAGCCGGCCCGGGCTGGCGGGGGGCTGGGGTTGGGGCGGCAGCACTCGATCCTGCAGGGGGACAGAAGCGGGGTGCTGCCCATGCCCACCCCCGGACCCATGCCGTGCGCCCGACCCGTGCCTGCCCCCCGGATGGTGGTGGTGGGGTTTCACTACGGCCACCTCGGGGAAGGGGCCACCCAGGCGCTTGCATCCCGACTCCAGTAGCCTCTGCAGGGAACGCCGCGCGGGCCCCTTAGGATGCCTGATCCCCCTGAGAGGCCAAGACCCCAAGCATCGGAGGGGGTTCCCGCCCACCGGCGTGGAACGAATGAATGAGCGCCCACTTCCCCCACCTTCTTGGCCCCGGGGGTAGGGCATGTGGGTTTAGGGACCTGCAGAGGCAAACCCCAGCTACGTGACTCCGCAGCCGTCTCTCCACCTGGGGCCAGGCGTGCAGCCGGCAGTGCGGGGGCAGCTACGGACCGCCCACGGGAAAAGCCTCGGGCTGCTGGCGAGGGGTCCAGCGCGGGGAATCAGCTCGCCTTCCCTCGGAGAGCACGCGGCCTAAGCTAGCTCTCTTCCAGGGCCCTTGGCAGTGGAGGATCCGTGTGTGTATGTACACAGGTCCACGTAACTAAAGATGTGTGTGTCCTACACAGCCGGCTCTGTGTGTGACTGTGCAGTTGTATGCACGTGTGTGTTTGGACCAACCTCTGCCACCATCACTTCTTTATTACTTTCTTTCTAGTCTCTCAGCTTCAAGATCCCAGCCAAGTCCTAAGTCTTTTGAGCCTGGGACTGGTGGGTGGCTGTGGGGGAGGAGGCAGGCCTGGGAGGTGGCCTGACCGCTCACATTCCAGCCAGAAGCAGAGCGGCCAGGGCGGCAGTCCGGTTGTCACCCTAATGACCTCTGCGTGTCCGCTGCCTGCCTGCCCACCCACAAGGGGCTGCCTGAGACGTGCCTCCTGGTCTGGCCAGCCCTAAGCCTAGGAGCAGCCACCCGCCAGGCAGGGACATTCTGACTGGCTCCAGCATGCTAGGGACCTCTGTAGGGATAGAGTCCCTCCTGGACCCTGGTCACTGTGCAGGGTAGCCGTGCCTGGGAGTGAGTGTGGGTGAATGTGTGTGTGTGTGTCTGTCTGCTTTTTGTGTGTGTGCGCCCATAACACTGGTGTCCACAGATGCAGGTGTGGAAGGCACTCTTTGTCTTCGATTTGGATGTGCATGTGGACACTGGTGTGTGTTGTGTGTGAGTGTGGTTGTGCGTTTCTGTCTGTTGTAGGTGCGTGCTTTTACTAGGTGTTTGCAGCACTTGCCTTCTGGCTATCTTTGCAAGCAGGGGTGTGTACCTTGCGTATCTGTATCCTTTCACGTGACTCATGCTGCTGCCACATGCCCATGCGACCCACTCGGCCCCATGTGTTGAGAACACACTCTGGAAGTTTCTGCACCATTTACACTTAGGGAAGAGGGGGAGAGGGCACACATGGTAAACCTGCTGAAGTTTTTTTCTCTCTTACGTGAACTCCAATGACTTGACATCTGTGGTTCCCCTAATGGCACCTCAGTCTTTAGCCACTAAACTGGGGGGCCCTACCCTCCTCTCCCTGTCTTCCTGAGTAGTGGGATGAAGTAGCCAGAGCAGGCAAGGGCAGTGGCGACCATAAAGATCCCAATGTTATATCAATGCTTCCTGTAGCTTGCCTTCCTTGCAGAGCCAGCGCTATGCCTCCACATTGTGGCTCCCAGCCCTGAAACCTCAAGTGACTGCCTCTCCTTTGATAGCCCCAGCTTCTGTGGCCATGTTTACCTGCTGGTATAACACAGGGATCGATGAGGCACCTGGGGTGCAAGGAATAGTAGCAACTGAGCACAACTGTCAATTCAAATTTGGTTCTTATTAGAGAGAGAAAAAAAGTATCATGTCAGGGCACAGTGCAATGGCTCAGTGGCTAAATCCTCACCTTGCACATGCAGGGATCCCAAATGGGTATGGTCATTTGGCATTTGAGGAGTGAACATGTGGATGGAAGATCTTTATGTTTCTCCTTTCCATAAATCTGATCTGCCTTTCCCATAGAAGTAAATAAATCAGCCTGTAAACAAGAGACAGAATAGAACGGCTCTTACATGTCTGCCAATTGCAGAGGAACAAGGACAGGAGAGATTCCTGTTCACACACACACACACACACACACACACACACACACACACACACACAGGCATTCTCCTGGTCACCACACAAGCAGTCAGACATGCCTTGTCCCCAAGGCCATCTGGAGAGGTCCTACTGCTGAGGGATGGCCCGAGCCTGTGTTGCCACCATCACTTGGCTGTTGTTTCAGAGAAAGCACGTGCGTTGATGGCACACATGTTGTATGCCAACCAGCATGCCTTGTCTTCAGACTCCTCAACACACCGAGTTCTGAGCAGGTTGCAATTGCTCCCATGTGGAAGATGGAGTTGAATCCACAGACACTGAACTGGGGCTGTGCTGGGGATCAAGCCTAGATCTTTCTCCAAGTCTCTCCAGCAAGGGTGAGTTTTGTTCTCAACAAAGCCAGGGCTGTGTCTTGCTACCTTCTGGCCTTTCGCTTGCCAGAGCAGAGCAGGTACCTGACAAAGCCAGTGGTTGGCATGGGGTAAGAAGGGACCCTGGCCAAGGAGCCCACCTTCCCAGATGAGTTTGACACACACAGATCAGTGTGTGGAACTGGGCTGCGTAAACACCATTTGGGCCAGGACCGTGCAGTGGACCCTGTGTAGCCCCATATTTTAAGCATGCCAGGCTGCCCACACCCTATGTTAGTCACAGCCTCGGCCTGCAATATCTGCCCTAACCTATCCCAGTTCCCTGGCTTTCGGCTTCCTGACTCATTTTCCCATGTCAATCCAGCCTCTTCATGATGCCAACTCTCTGACCTCTCCAGCCTGGTCTTTCTCACTCTAGGACAGTGCAGTGTTATCTGCTGAAGCTCTGACCTGGACGTAGACAGAGGGCATCAGGTGATGCAGTATGCTAGGATTACATCATCCTGCCTGGCAGAGAGAGTGGTAGACGGCAGTTCTGGGTCCAGGATTTGTTCCCTGTGTTGGCTGGACATGGTTTGTCATTAGCAGCTACTCAAAACCACCAGCAAGCTAGGTCAGCCTCCCCTGTCCTCATCTCCTACCTGTTGGATGAAAGGAGCCCCCCAGCCCTGACCCCAGGCACATCTCCCCTGTAGGCCAGCAGTTGGAGGGGGGATGTCCTTCATCCAGGTCTCCACTACCCTACATTGCCCACTACTCCCAAGCATGGCACCTATTCTTGGGTTGCCTCCTTGCCCGCTTGCTTATCTGTCTTGCCTCAAAAATTGCAAGGCCTGGACAGGAAGGTCCTGTGCCTTTCCTTACCCAGGTATCTCAGGAGCTTCTTCCAGGTCTCCTGTGTGAGTGCAGGAGTCCAAGCACCTGGGCCATCCTCTGCTGCTTTCCCAAGTGCATTAGCAGGAAACTGGATCAGAAGTGGAGCAGTTGGGACTCAAAGCAGGAGAGGCTCAAATCTGCTGTGCCAGTGTTTTCCCATTCTATTTAAATTCCCTTCAGCGGGACCCCCCACACACACACCAAAAGACCCCATACTCAAGACTTTGCAACTTGGGTGGGTTCTTCTGGTGGTGGGAGTACATATGGGAGTGAGTGCCACCTCCCATTACTGTGTAATCATGGGCTGGGCAGATCACCACAGCCCCAGGGGACGAGGGTCAAGCCTTGGGCCAGAGACAGAAGCCTGTGGGAGGCCTAGGGTGGAGCCAAGTTGGCAGGGGGAGCGAGAATAGAGCTCATGGTTGACCCTTCCATTCCCAGGGTGGGAACCAAGATGGCAGCTACCACCAGGTCTGGGAACAGGGGAAGGTGGATGAGGGGCCCAGAGCCTGGTCCCAGGCCTCCGGGGCGACGTGTCGTCACCCAAGGAATAGAAACCTGTACTTTGGGAACTTGGCAGCCAGGGCTGGGTTTTTCATGTTTTCTGTAATTATTTCCCTTTTGTTCTCCCTTAGTATTTAGTAAAGCCCTTTGTGAAAATGCCAGCTGGTCTCAGCTGTACTAAGAGCAATGACAAAGGGGGGACCCTGTGCCTGCTCAAGCCCAGCTCAGTGGGGGTGGGGGGCAGTTTCAAAGAAGAGGTCTCCCCCACCATGGGGGCCAAGGAGGCACTGGGGGCCTCTCGTCCAGACAGCCTCCCCAGCAGCAGTCTCCTTCCAGAATCTTCCAGGCCTGAGCCTTGACAGCCAGTGTTGTATTGGAGCCTGGGCGGCCTGGGGCGGGCTGTGTTCAGAGAACCAGAGGCTGGGCACCTGCTGTGCTCCAGCTGCTCAGAAGGCGGGGCACCCGTGCCCCAGCTGGGGCTGCTGTCGAGGAATCAGGCTCGCGAGCTGGGAGCTGGGCCTGGAGCCACCACTTGTGCCTGCCCTCACTCCTTCCCCTCCTACCCCAACCCCCAGTCCCCAACCCCCTTTCTGGGTCCTGAGCTTGGGTTCCCTGCCTGTCTGCTGCCCACGGGGGATGGGGGCTAGGTCCCTGGTCCCTTCCCACCTGCCCCAGACCCACTGCGATCACATACCCCCCCTGCCCCATCTCCTCAAATCTCTTCCCCTCCCTGGTGGTGCCCCTCAGCTGCCGCAGGGCGTGCAGGCAGGCCGGGGGAGCCGTCCCTCTCTCTGGGAACAATTGGCCCTTTCTCTGGGTTGTGCGAGTGTTACATGAGCAGAGGAAGCTCTTTGTAACTAATCGGCTGTGATGTGGAACCAGCCACTGGGCCCCAGGCTCGGGCTGGGCTGCTCTGGACGGCTGGAGGGCTC